GTATCCGGTCGAAAGGACCGAAGGGGAGGCCAGCACCCAGATATGCTGGGCAGTATCCGGTCGAACGGACCGAAGGGGTAGGTCGGGCACCCAGATATGCCTGGCAGTATCTGTATGTATGTGATTGTATGGTATGTAGTAAGATGGGGGAACTCACTAAGCTTTGTGCTTACAGTTTACAGTTTTGTTTTCAGGTACCTCTTCATCGAAGGGGAAGGAGCTGGCACGGTAGCGGCACATCATACACACACATTGTTTTCCGCATCATGAGTTATTCTGGGATTTTTTACTCTGACATTATGGTTGTTTTTGTATGTTGGATTTCAGACACGGAATATGTTTATGAAATGATATGATCAGGCGATGTTTATTCACTAATGTTTTTCCAAAGCGTTGATTTAAAAATGAAATTTTTGGCCTGTATTTTTGGGGTGTTACACAAAACATACAAATAAAACCTGCAAAAATTGACAAAACCTAATTCATTTTGCACAAATTGATACGAAGGGGGAAAAGGGGTATTTTTTTTCTTTTCGAAATTACAGACAAATTAAGAATGAAACTAGAGTAGAAATTCCAGGAATTGTTCTAGAAATTTAAACGTATCCCAACATGTTTCATCCATGAAAAGGTTATGATAATAACCTAATTGATTCAATACGTCTACTCATTCACAAAACAAGAACAAAATTGCGTGTATTTATGGTGGAACAAACAACAGAAAAAGATGAAGGGTTACATATATGATAGAGGTGTGGATAAGAAACAATGTTCGATTAGTGGAAACAGCGGTTCACAGGTTATGCAGATGGAGATTGCGGCAATGGTGTGATGGTATTTTCTCTCTCATTAGCTCCGTCGATGGTGGTTCGCTCAAGAGGGTGAACGACATGTGGCCAGAGTTTCATGATGGTGCTTCACAGTCGGAAAGGGTTGGGGTCTTAATGATCCAGATTTCTGGTGAGGTTCCAGGTTCCATTCTTCAACTGATTTGCAGAGACGACTCTCTCCCTTTTTCTCCAAATCGGTGGTGTGTAGGTGTCGCACCAGAGATGGAGAAGAAGAAGCTGAGAGTTTCGGTACCTCAAAGCTTGTGGGGATGAAGGGTGGTGGTTTAGGTTCTTGAATGAAAAAAAGATGAAGAGGGAAAAAGATGTTTTACAGGGGACACGAAGAAGAAGATGGGTAGGTAATGTGAGGTTGGGCCCAACTAGTTATTGAATTTTTTAAATATAATTGATAATAATAAAAATCTAAAAATATATAAAAAATAAATAGAAAAGGGCAAAACAGACATTTTATGTCAGGTAAATGATTTTAGGGACGAAACGTGCAACTTTTAATAATAGGAGGGACGGTCCGAGTTAATTTTTGAAAATAGGGACTAAACGTGCTTTTTGACACATACACGAGGGACGAATCGTGTAATTTACTCAAAAAATAACTAAAAATATGTGAATTTATCATTTTTAAACTCTACCCATATTTATAGTCCTTTTTTTGCATATAACGTAAAATGTGCACCATATGCACATAAATAGAAAAACGTTTGTTTTGAATTAATTTTTTCAAAAAATCACATTCTCTAGTAGTGTCCTAACTTATTAAGATGTTTTTCATCTAAACATTAATGTGCATATATATGTAGATGTGCATATATATATATATATATATATATATATATATATATATATATATAT